TATTAAAAAAATGCTTTAAAAAATAGTAAAAAGATTATCCTAAATGAAACCTTTATCTTTAGCTATTCATTGTTGCCTATGAGTTTGTGAATTTGAGATTACAACGTTGATTGTGTTAATGAGGAAATATCATACTATCATATATATATCATACTATCATATATATCATACTATCATATATATATATAGCAATTTAAAATTTACATGACTTAGGTTATGTTTGGGACGGCTTTCTTACTGTTTCTTAAAGCGGCTTTTTAGTATAAAAATTTTATTTTTTGTACTAGAAAGCAGCTTTATGAAGCAGGAAGAAAGCCGTCCCAAACGAAACCTTAGTTTATGTTTGACTGAGAAAGTAAGAACAAAGTTGCAACATGATTATAATTTTCATAAGAGAAAGAATTATCAAGTGATAGTAAAGGAAAATAAACTTATAAAATTTACAGTTACATTTGATAGATAAAAAATAAACGATCAAAAAAGAGCAAAAAATGGGCAATGAAAAACTCTAAAACCTAATAAATCATCAGTTATCTAATAGTTTCCATTTGAGGTGATACCAAATAACGATCCAAAATATTGGCATAACGACCCTCATGCAATGTATACGAGCAGATAAATCTAATAGAAGCATAAAACTGGCAATCCTATAAGAAAGCTTTAAGTGGAACAACAAAGAAATAACCTGGACAAAATAAAATCTCAAAATATAGGATATAATGCCTCAAGGTAGCACAACTTCACATAATGTATTCCGAATGTATTCAGATGCCGCGACTCCACAAATAATAGACATGCAATAAGCCATCCAACAAACCATCCCAGAAGTGAAAGAAACAGTATGAGTTACATTAAGTGAAGTATAACTATGTTATACTATTAGGGAAAGTAGCCTCAATTTTTCATCTTTTGCTTTTATGTATAAGGATAAATAGTATTTTTTTTTTTTCATTAAAGAGTGACCATTAGGCACTTTACTACTAACAATTTGATTATTTCATTCTTTCCAAATAAAATCACATTGATTGGGCACGAATCTGGAAGCATATTTGAATTAAAAACTTTTAAAATTAAATTCAGGATCATCCAAACTTTGATTTTAGAAAACTTATAGTCAAATGTACTTTATCAACGAGACGAACCTAACGAGATAAAAAATGTTCCAATTATAGCATATAAGAGCATAAATCAGGGTTTGAAGCATAATTGAAACTTACGAATATTATTTAGATGATCAAATGATCTTCAAATTTGGCATGCTTTTAGTATAATTCAGTAGCTCAATGACACAAATACAATGAGCCTGGGATCACTGGCTTCTGAGATCATTAAGAGAACTAAATGTTGGATAAAAACTTCATAATCAAGGGAATCAATACAGGTCATTTTGATGGAGTGCTAAAAAGTTGATTCAACTTTTTCCTATATTTACGGGGCATGCCACTTCCAAAATCTTTAATTGGGCCCCCACTATTTAGATGAGGGGGGAGGGGAGGGGTGTTTTTGAGTCTTTAGTTAGAGATTCAAGAGATCTTAGAATCCTGAAGCTCATCCACCTGACTACCTGAGCATCACCACTAACAAACCCTCACTAGCTAATTACAACTAGGCTTTTGTTGCTTGGCCACTTCCTCTGGCTGACCACCTATGTCAAACTTTTTACCACAAATGTTGGACCTCCTCCATTTGATTGTTGATATCAGACATCCAGTACTCGATTGCCTTTGTCGAACCTCTACTTGTTGACCATTGTTGTTGGACTTTGATTGTTTGATAACCACCATTGGACCTTTGCCTGTTGATCATTGTCATTAGACTTTTTAGGTCTGATAGCCATCCCCTACTTTCATTGCCCAACCACCACCATCAAACCTCTCATCGTCCAACTAGCATCATTGGACCACTGTAGCATATATATGACCCTTCAACCACCATTACTCGATTAGATCCTCAGACCATCAGAATTGAAAAACATATCGGCTATGGCTCTCGAACCACCATTATTCAACTACAATCTTCCGACCACCATCACTCAATTCTAGTCCTCAAACCACTGACATCCTACTAGAGTATGACCCTTGTTGCCCACCAACTATGGTCCTCCAACCTCCATCGCCTGCATATTATGGTTCTCGGACCACCATCACCCATCGCTCGATTACGTTTCATAACCAAACCCAATATAACTTATGGACATGATAGGTCATGTCATATTGGATGGTGATATGCCAAGCCCAAGAGCTAAGTTTTGGAAAACTTTTCATTTTTTTTAGTTATTAACAAATAAAAAGCTACTAAATAACTTCCAATGATTAGAAATTAAATTTATTCACAATTTCATCTTCTTTCTTCATTTATCTCCAAAATGTATATACAATAAACATATATACAATACAATACATGACTACAGAAAAAAAATAAAATAAAGCAGAAAATAATCATGAATGTATAAAATCTATATAGAAGAAATACCTATGCATACTCAAACAGATTAGAACTTGCAACATTAGCCACTCAACTGGCTCTTTCCCCTTGCCTTGGCTTGAAACAAAAGGCAAAATAAGTGTGAGCAACACAGCATAGTAGGTCACATCCACTAATATAAAATTTTAATACTTAATCCATGATTCATTTTACTAAATTATAAGTAGTTATTACTAAATTATTGTACTGAACAGAGTAATACTAGCAGGTAACTGAAATTAAATAAACTTTGCATAAAAATAAATAAATAAGTACTTCATATATTAAAGCAGAAAATAATAGTATTACTTTGTTTGTATATAATGTGCTTGTATATAATGTGCTAAGCATTTGAGAGTCATAAGAGTTTATTTTCAAATATTCATAACACTATTTAGAAGCTTTAAATATACTACAACATTATTTTTTAAATTTGCTAAATATAGCACATTTTCTAATTTATGTGATACAAATTTCAAAAGAAAATACTAAAATATTCAAAATACTCGTATTTATAACATACATAAAGTTATATGGTGAATTTAAGTTTTGGATGGAATTTATTATTTTGATAAAATATTGATCTAACACCGCGATGCCCATATACTCAACGCTCTCAACAGAGGGCACAACATCACAACGCCCAAACCTAATGCCATAGCACTCCCAAAATATTTCTTAAAAGACAGAGCTTAATGCCATAATGTTGCCAACCCAATGCCGCAACACTCTTAAGGGAAAATTTTTAAATCTCATGATTCATGCACATAGACTCTCAAGAAACATTTTAAAAATAGATTTCAAACATTCACATACCCATAGAACACTTTATAGACACGTGCAGAATGCAAAAATGCAAAAAATTTCATCGCATCAATCTTAATAGATCAGTAAGAAAGGGTGCAACACTATTATTACAGTGTTACACTACAATCCTCCAAGAATCATTACCTGACAATGATCTTTCTGACTTCAGTTTCCCATCGACTACGATGCTTAAACTACCATCACCCGACTATGGTCCTCACCCCACCAACTTTAATGCTCCTCGAATCACCATTACCCAGCTACAATCCTTGGACCATGATCGCTTGATTCTTCAACCATTATCGCTTGACTACGGTCCTCTGACACCTATCACTCATTTTCTATGATCCGATCTCTATCACCTTCCACTATAGTTCTTAAATCATCGTCACCCGACTATAGTCCTCTAATGTATGTTGCCTGCCTACTATAGTCCTTTGGCCTCTGTCACTTGTTGACTATTATCCTCAGACCATCTTCTCATTATTGTGGTCCTTCAACCACTGTCGTCTTACTACTATCATTTTGACCTCCGTCACTCGCCAACTACGATTCGTTGACCTACGACCTCTTGACCAGTGTTGCCTTGCTGCTCCAACGCCTACTACCTTCATCACCTACTTTTGTCAATAATGCCAATACACGCCATCACTAATTATAAGATTGATGCATCCTATCAAATATAACATTGACTCCCGACTTCAACACTTTAATTTATGTTGTATTCATGTCAAAAGGCTCTCCCGATTTAAACAATGTAATACATACTATATCCATGCTTTCCTTCAAGGAAGAACTTCACTTTTAAATAAATAGTAATACTAGTGGAATATTTTTAACTAGGGTAAGCCTCATGATTTTTTCTTTTTCACTTTTTCCTACATAAAAAATCAAACGTGACTTATAATTTGTCTTCTTATCTATGTTTGTGTTAATATTCAAACAAAGCTAAGACGCTAAACCCTCAATCTCTCTCTTCCATTGAGAATATTGTAGCACGCTGTAATATTAATTTGAAATTATGTTTTGGCTCCATTGTTTGTTTGCTACAAGCTTTTTTTTTCTAAAATTTTTAATTAATTAATTTATTTTTCTATTTAAGATGGAGATTTTAGTTCTTTTTAATTTGACCTAATTCCATTTGGCACTTAAATTTACTTAATTGTTTTTTTTTTATTAATGGCAAAGACTATTCTAAATACTATTTTTTAATTAAGAAAAATATATATTTTTGTCATGAATGTTTCCACTTCTTCATAATAACACATATACTCATATATGATTCTCATCTAATAAATGGGTCGGGTTCAAGAATAAAATTTCACGGGTTGAGTTCGAGTTGATTAGCGAGCATGATGTTGACCCAAAAGTGATTGTTTTTTTTTTTAAAATATTTTTGTTTACTAGTATGTTATATTTATTTTTGATCAATTAATATAAATTTTATAATTAACATATTATAATTTTTTTAATTAAAATGAGTTATTGCATTGAGTTCAAATCATCCGGGTTGTAAGTGGGTCATCTTTTTAACCCTTTTATCAAAGGAATCGAATTCAGATGAGTTCAATTTTGAGTTAGATTATAACCCATTGAAGAAAAGCAGAGAGCTCTATAAAATAAACAAGTTAATAGGACAGAATCTTTCTCAATTTGTTTGGCGAGAATAGCTTTTCTTTATTAAAGCAATCAAATAAACAAAAATAACCTGTTTAAAAGACTGGTGGCGTCGAACTGACTCTTCGCCATGCTTCTTTCTCGCCAGTCTACTCTCTCTCCTCTCCGTCTCTTCCTCTCGCAATCTCTCCTTCCTTTGTTTCTCCGTTTCTTTTGCGTGGGACAAAAAAAGCGAAAATAAAGAGAATTAAAAAGAGAGGGAGAGGGAGGAAGAGGACGGAATCGAAGAGAGCGCGTCTGCATTTGGCGCCTTAGCGTAAGAAAGCTGCCGAGTGGCACAAGAGAGAAAGATTCTAGTTTGTGTAAAGAAAAAGAGGAGATTGGTACGCGGCGCAGGAATTGATGAAGGGTTACTCGGCGGCGGTGCCGCCGTGCAAGCGGAGGTGGCGGGGGCCGACAGTGGTGATTGGTGCCCTCGTCTTCTTCTCGTTGCTCGTACCTCTTTCGTTTCTCCTCGGTTTTCATAACCGCTTCCCATCGGGTAGGTATTCCTGTCTCTTTCTTCTCTATCTTTCTCTCCCAGAACAACGAGATCCCTTAGATCGGCACCGGCATTGGGTTGTTTATCTCGCTTAGTTATGTTGGAGGCGTTGTCTTGGGTGAATGCTTGAGGTGCTTAAATTTCCCCGGTATTGGGGTGCGATTATTGGGATCGATTTCCCAATCACGCTCGCTTTCGTTGCTGCAGGGATTTGATTTTTCCATTTTCTTAAGTCCATTTAGGGGGCGATGGGATCGTTGGTAATGTGTTTATTTTTCAGGATTTTTGGCTGACGATCGTCTTCCATTGGTGAGGATCTATGGTTATTCAAGTGCCTGAGTATTGCAGTGAGTTAGCATTTCCTTTTGTTTAGTTCTATTTTTTACTTATTCAATTACCTTCATTGAGGCCCAGGAGACGAGCTTTGGCAGCAATGGACGAGTGGAGAGCGTTCAAGAATACTTCGAGGTGATTTTCTTTATCTTCTCTTGGTGACTTCTTCGTTGTTTTCTCTTTCGAAGTTGAGTTCAATTTGTGTTACAAGTTGCATTTTTATTTATTATGGTTTTACCTGAGTTCTGTTTCTGTTTGCGGGATGCCCATCCCAGAATCGTTAAAATTATTGACAAGTTTGAAGTTTCTCCGATCAAGGTTCTATCTTGCCTTTTGATAACACCGAGCCCCGATTGACATTGCATTGATCTTTTATATTGCGACTGTCTTCATTCAAATTTATGCGTTAGTTCAGGCAGAAATAGTTTATCAAGCCAAAAAGCTAGAGCACATATATATTCATAATGCACTTTTAGGGGCTGTTTGGTAGAATCTAGGATTTCATTTAAGTAGGATTTTGTAAATCTTCCAAATCCGGATTTATCAAATCCCTAGGGGTTTAAATCCTGAAAACTGTTTGGTAACCTTCATGATAAATCCTATGTCAATGTTTGGCTTTTCCATTCAGGATTTAAGGAGGTTAAAAGATTTGGGTGGAGTTTCTTCCCTCCCGCGCCAATAGAGCCAGAGGATTTTGGAAATCCGCCGAACAAGAGGATTTCGGGAATCCAGGATTTACGACGAAAAGGCTGAATTTTCCATCTACGGCTGCTTTCATTTTCCGTGAGATTTGGTTTTGCATTTTAGGCCGTTTGGTTGGATTTCGCCTCAAATCCGGCCTAAATCCGCATACCAAACAATCCCTTAAGGACTTGGATTTGGTCCAAAGAGCAACTGTTCCCAAATTTATAAAGGATGTTGATTAGAAGCGAATCATGTTAGGTACTTATGTAATCTGTTTAGGGGAGAGATTATATGAAATAGATGAATGGCACCAAGGAGCTTGGGCATGGAATTGGAATAAACCATAAAATAATATCTAAAATTCATGGAATCTGCATACTGAATAGTTATGGAATTGACATACTGAATTTTATAGGGACTAAAATTGTACTTCATAGATGAATTGAGTTATTTAACGACGAAGAAGGAGATTCGGGCTTTCACAAGAAAGCAAAGACTTCTTCGTTTTTCACACAAGCATGTCAAGTCTCATTGCTTTGAAGAATTTTACCAGGACAGAAGCATTTATAATAAGTGCAAAGCATTTAAAAGGCTAAAAAAATGGAAGATAGTAGTTTTTCTTTGAATCTTCATATAAGAAATAGTAATTTGAAATTAAGACTTGATGTTTATGATGCTGGAATATTTTCATTGCTACTTTTTGGTTAGGAAAGTGCCAAATGCTTAGTATGTATTTACGATGAGAATTGACTACTAATTTCGATGGAGAGGAATCTATTTGTGGAAGGCATCCCGTTTGTATATTTTCTTTGTTCAATGCTAACTTTTTCACATATTTGTTATCATCCAAAGCAATGGAGATATGATGATTTTATATTTTCTTTTAACAATTTACAATGAACATAAGAATAGTTTCCAATCCAAACCATTACTTCATGATAGGATGAACTGAGGTAGGAGGAACTCAGAAATAAGAACCCTTTTTCACTTCTTTTCTAAAGGAATGTGCAGGCATATCATCTAAAGCATCTGAATTTATCATTTGTCAGGAGATTACAGAGGAAGAAGCCATGAGACCAGCTGATTCGACTGTTTACACCAAAAATGATGCTGTCTCTTTGGGCAAACCTGCGCCTAGCTCAAATAAAAAAGATAGCACTTATCAGTTTCATCCAGAAAAAGCTGTCTCTCCTATACATTCTCAGATTCATCTAAACAACCCAATCTCTCCTATTAAAAAAAAGGACTATAACTCCCATGGTAAAGGTGTGTAATGAACATGTTATTTGGAGTTTCAAGTATTTCTTCACTATTTTCAGTATTTCTATCCCAATAATTGAGTAATATCATTCTATGTTACTGTTTGCAGTGATGCCTACTCCCCAAATTGCTAAAGCAGAATTTACTCCATCTATCAATACAAAAGTAAGGTTATATTTGTCATCTAACTATGGCTATTTTCTTCATTCTGAAAGCTTGTATAAAATACTTGAGGTTGAACTAAGAAGATGCTATCTTTTGATATGGTTTCAACTTTGAAAATGTGTAGTATGGGATGAACTTATTGCCAATATATGATTTTCCTTGTCCTCTCTTCCTCCATTGAGTTGGCGTCACTTATATGTCAAAAATTAATATGTCCGATCTAAGGATTTAATCATTTTTGGGTCATGTACATGCCTTTATCAATACATGGAACAAAGCCTTCCTTGATACAGTCATCATAGACACAGATTTTTTCTTTAATCCCATTTGTTTGTTGCCTTCCCTGTAAATTAGTATGTTAGCTTTTATGATGGAATGATTTTCAAATCTTTCAGGAAAATTTTGGAGGGATCGGGAAGGGTAACTTGGAAGTTATAGCTGTTGATGGTATTAAAAAATCGTGCCAGCTTGAATTTGGAAGCTACTGCCTTTGGTCAACAGAACATAAAGAAACAATGAAGGATTCTATGGTGAAGAGACTCAAAGATCAGCTTTTTGTAGCTAGAGCGTATTATCCAAGCATTGCCAAACTTAAAGCACAGGAGAGCTTGACACGTGAACTTAAGCAAAATATCCAAGATCATGAGAAAATTCTGAGTGATGCTATTTCAGATGCTGATCTACCACCATTGTAAGTGACATTAATTTATAACTCACCACATATTTGCTGTTTTCACTTTGCACTTTTCTTCTGTCTCATCACATAAAAGTCTCTATTTAATTAAAATTTGTTAAATTCAGAGAATTGGAGAGGGAAATGCTTAAATTATTATTACACAAAACTATCTTTATTTATAGATCTATACAAGATATTTTAATAAAGAAACGAATAACTACAGAATCATACATAATTTCCCAAATACAATCCTTCATAAATCAGCCGTCTTAATATGGAAGGATATTAGCATCATCCAATTGAGCCTCCCACATATTCCCTTCCCGTCTTAGCCGTGGGATCAAAATGTCAAGGGACGACTAGGATTTAATGGGTGAGTCTTCAACGAATTCCCAACCTAGCCTTGGGATCGAAAGGCAAAGGGACGGCTGGGATTTAACACTCCCCCTCAAGCTGGGGAATATAGATCCGTCATTCCCAGCTTGGTAATCAGTCTTAGGAAGGTGGAGTTATCGAGTCCCTTGGTAAGAACATCTGCAAGCTTGTCTTTTGATGAGACATGATTAATACATATAAGACCACTCTCTAATGTCTCATTTATGAAATATATGTCCACTTCTATGTGCTTGGTCTCGTTATGTTGAACCGGATTGTGAGCTATGTTGATTGTTGATTTGTTGTCATAGTGTAGCTTTATGGGTCATTCCCACTTGATCCTTAAGTCTTCTAGAATTATCTTGATCCATAGCAGCTTATATATTCTTAAGGTCATAGCTCTGTATTCTGCTTTTGCACTAGATCTTGCCATCATGGTCTGTTTCTTGCTTCTTCATGTAATAAGTTTTTCTCCAAGGAATGTGCAGTATCCTGAGGTAGATCGTCTATATGCTGATGATCCTGCATAATCTGCATCAGTATATGCTTCTGGGGTTATTCCTGTCACGACCCAATCCGACCGGGACGGATCCCGCTCGCATCGGGCCGCGACAGAGCCAACAAATCCAGGATCTGGCTTTGAAATTTTTCCTGGTTTAAGTGACTTTCCTAAGATAGCTTCTATCTATTTAGGAAATCATTCATTGGGATTTAATTCACATTTGAATTTCAAACCTTGTTTTTCTTTTTCCCTCTATTAATCCTCCTAAACCTGAAACGTTCCTTAATTACAATCAATCTGAATTTCAGCAAATCAGATTGTTTTAATTGAGTTAATCCCTTGGGCCCCATCCATCTAAATTCCGAGCCCCTCTCTCTCCTTTATGGCCGGCTATATTACCCCTATTGCTTCTTTTCCTATTTGCCACATCACCACCTCATAAAAGCCTCCCAAATACCTTCCCCTCATTAACGTGATTACAGTTTTTTTTCTCAGATATTATTCCATATTTCAAATCTAAAATTGGAAATTACTTTCTTCCCTCTCCTCTAATTAAAATCTGAAATAAGATTTTTCCCTCCCACTAAATAACATCCCTTTTTCTTCTCCCTCCACCACCACAAGATCGGCCACCCCCTTCTCCCTCTCGGGTACTCCTTCAACCCTAGGCAAGAATGTATGGCGGAACCCGAATGGAACTTTGGGTTTGTGCTCGACGATCGAGAGCAAGTTGACATCCTCCTATCACCGTTATTTGACGTGGGCTTTGATTTCGACGACACTATTGAAGATTACATCGACCGTATCCAGTACACATTAGTTAATGTGATCGACGAGCAAAGATCAAAGGGACGTTGGATCATCCTTGGACGACCGCATCCTCCACCACTCTGGCCACCTATCCAAGAACGACGATCTTAGGATCCTTCTTCCTCTGAGTGACCTTGGTTCTAATGTGGAGACTCTTCTTCCGTTAAAGCCTAGACTAGTTGAGCGTATGGGCTCCAAAGGTGAAAGTTATTATTATTAAATTGTGGATTCTTGTTTATCGTCGTAGTTTTACAATTTATCTTTGCATTTTCTTAAATTGTTTGGTTACCGAATTTTGCTCTTCTTTGCCTAAGCAAGTTAAAACCAAGAATTCGAAGGATCAAACATTGTTATAAGTAATAAATTTAGTATGGGATTACTTTATTCAATCTACTCTCTTTAATTTCCCTAAGTAACTCCATCGCATGTTTTGTTTCACATCAGCTTTTGCACTAGATCTTGCCATCATGGTATGTTTCTTGCTTCTTCATGTAATAAGTTTTTCTCCAAGGAATGTGCAGTATCCTGAGGTAGATCGTCTATCTACTGGTGATCCTGCATAATCTGCATCAGTATATGCTTCTGGGGTTATTCGATAGTCTCTTTTGAAGAGAATCCTTTACCTAGGTTCCCCTTAAGATAGTGCAGTATTTTGTCATGTGAGCCTTCTTTGGATTTTGCATGAACTGGCTGACCATGCTTACAACAAATGCTATATCTTGTATGATGTTGGAAAGGTAGATCAATTTCTCCACAAGTCTCTGGTAACCTCCTTTATCTACATTTGGATCTTCTTTAGCTTCCCCTAATTTGAGATATGGTTCTACTGTTATTGGTGCCGGTTTACAAGCTAGTTTATATGTTTCTTTAAGAAGATCATTAATGTATTTTTGTTGTGAAATGAAGATTCCTTTGATGGAGTGGGCCACTTTAATTCCAAGAAAATATTTTAATCTACAAAGATCTTTGATTTCAAGTTCCTTTGCAAGACATTTCTTTATAATTACTTTTTCTTTTTCATCATTCTCAATCAAGATGATATCATCCATAAAAACTAATAAAATTTTGACTTCCTCTGAATCTGAGTGCTTGAAGAATAATGTATGGTCTCCTTAGCTTTGCCAATAACCATTAAGTAGCATGAATTTTTAGAATATTCCAGACCAAGTTCTAGGTGACTATTTTAACCCATATAGAGCCGTTTTCAACCTACATACTTTGTTGCCCCCAGATTGTTCCTTGAATCTTGGTGGAATCCCCATAAATATTTCTTCTTCCAAGTCCCCGTGTAGGAATCATTTTTGACATCTAACTGTTCAAGATGTCAGTTATAATTAGTTACTAGTGAGAGCATGATCCTCACGGTGTTCATCTTGGCCACAGGTGCAAAAATTTCCTGGTTGTCAATCCCATACGTCTGAGTGTACCATTTCACCACTAGTCCTGCCTTATACCTTTCCAGTGTCCATCATCTTTGTATTTCACAGAGAATACCCATTTGTAGCCGACTGATTTTTTTTCCTACTGGTAGGTCATGGATCTCCCATATATTTTTCTTTTCCAAGGCCTACATTTTATCTTTCATGGCACCTTTTCAAATTTCATCAGATAAGGCTTCATAAATATTATTAGGAATATGAATATCATTTAATGTAACCATAAAATTTTGCATATTTTGGAGATCTCCTTTTCCTTAGTGCACCATAGTGTCTTCCATTTGGTCAATGCCATGGGAGGAATTTGCTCCAGACATTACGACGACAAAGGGCAACAATGAAGGCTATATCAAGCAAAGTAGCAATGAAGTTTGTGTTGGTTATAAATAGAATAACAACAAGGGAAGACCGACAATGAAGGCACGATAGTATAAAAAATTTAGAATTCTGGCAACAACAATGAAGGCCGCTTGCTCCCCTTGCTTTCTTCGATTTATATATCCCAACGATTCTGGCAATGAAGGCTGATGGAAGAACCAGTGCTCTTCAGAATTTTGGCAATGAAGGCCGATGGTGGGATCCTTAGAATTCCAAAAATGAAGGCCGGTGGTGGGAACCTGTATTCCTCGGAATTCCGATAATGAAGGCTGGTGGTGAGAACCTGTATTCCTCAGAATTTTGGCAATGAAGGCTTGTGGTGGGAACTTATATTCCTCAAAATTCTAGCAATGAATGCTGGTGGAAGGACCATTATTCGTCAGAATTTCGACAATGAAGATAGGTGTAAGGCCGAATATTCTTCAAATTCCGACAATGAAAGCCGGTGGTGTGAACCTATATTTCTCTTAATTCTTACAATAAAGGTCGATGGTGGGAGCCTTTATTCCTCATATTTACGGCAATGAAGGAACAACCGGTTGTTCCTCTCCGCTTCCTTCGATCAAGGCTCTAATACCATATTAAATTCAGAGAATTGGAGAGGGAAAGGCTTAAATTATTATTACACCAAACTATCCTTATTTATAGATCTATACAGGATGTCTTAATAAAGAAACATATAACTACAGAATCATGCATAATTGCACTAATACGAATATACAATCTTTCCTAAATCAATCATCTAAATATGGAAGGAGATCAACATGATCCAGGTGAGCCTCCCACAGATTCCCATCTTAGTCATGGGATTAAAATGTCAAGGATTGCCTAGAATTAATAGGTGAGCCTTCCACGGATTTCTATCCTAGTCTTGAGATCAAAATGCCAAGGGACGGCTGAGATTTAAAAAAATAAATAAATAAACATGTATAGGCTATGACCATGTGTGGCATAGAGCAACTTTCTAGTGGTTACTTGAGCAAGTGATAGATAGTTGGGCCAGGAGAAACTACAATGCTGACTGCTTTTAGCATAGAAAAGCATTATAAAGCATCTTTGTTGCTTAAGTTGCATCCTAACTTTAGCCACGTGGAATAATAAGCTTCCATGTTGGAGGAGATGGGGCTTGTTTAAGACTGGCCCTCGATGTGCCTACAATAGCAATGTGGGGGTAAGAGGGTCACCCGCAACACGCTAACCATAATTTAACATGCAAAAGGGATAATTTGTGATGGTGGTTTTTTCGCACGTAGTTGAGCAAGAAGATCAATTGATAAAGAAAGAGAGGTTCACATATTAAAGGCATAAAAACACCATTGCAGGGTCAAATCATTATGAAGCCACTCGATGAAGGATGAATTAGGTAGCATGGATTGAGAAGCTAATGATGTTGCTATAGTTTGTAATAACTAGGAGGGCAACATTGAACTACCTATAAGAAGCCAATCTGTACAAATTGTAACAAAGAGATTGTGGGGCTAAAGAGCTAAGCTCAAGCAAATTTCTTTGAGTGG